CTAAAAAAGCAGCTGTAAATTAATGCTGTTCCCCTTACCCTAAGATGTCATTTATTGTGCTTACTGTACAAGTACAACCAATGTGTAATTCAGATTATTTCTACCAACTCAATGCATGCTATTTTTGTATAAAGCCTGACACATTATATGTTATTGATAGTTCCATAAATACTACATAGGTGATTATAAGGTGTGAAGGCACCTATGTTAATGTAGTTTCAGTTGTGATTCAAAACAAGATGTAGTTTCAAGGCATGGGGCCAGCATGTTCCTTCCCTGTTGGACCACCTGAGTACTTGTGACCACATGAGTAAGTGTTCTTCCTACGCCCTCCACCTTGTTTCCAAGCGGTTAATGCAGTAGCCACAGGCAGTATTATGTAAAACTCACTGACCTGTGAGATTGACAAGGGCAAAAACCTGTGATGGCAGGGTAAGGCAAAATAAGCTTTGAACATCTTAACTTCTGACAGGGACACTAAGGTGTCCTCACAACATACACTTTTATTTGTCACCATAGATCAGGCAATATCCACTGACCCATACACAGAGCTCAAAGACTCTTACCCAAGGCCATTCTAGGTAGACACATGAAAGAAGGGAGTTCACTACTGCTTGCACATTAATAAACTGTAAGTATAGTGTGAATGTATTGTAGGCTAGGCTTTATTCAGGAGTGAGATGTTAGTTAGTGTGTCAAGAGTTGAAAGTCATTACTCCAAGCCATGGGGTCACACAGCAGTATGCAGGTGTCAGTGTGTGTTGTCTACACCACTCACACAAACAGGGTGTGACTTCAGGTATACAGGAACTGTCAACACTAAGATAAATGATAATGAATTCATTACATCCTGGCTCAGTCACTGATTCGTGTGTACAAATGGCCAAATTATATCACCTAAAATGATATCATACACATATTCACTGGAGGAACCATTGATTAAATCATTTCAAACATGTCATGGCTTACAATTTCTATTAGCACATCACTCCATGAACTTAATGAGATTAATTAGGTAAAAACCAACCTTGAGCATCTCATATCTATTTTACAAGATGGGTAGGTAGTTCAAATTTGTGTTACTTTGATTAAATGTTCAAACCAAATTTCATAACTGCACCAAAAAACGCCTTTCAAGCCTTCACTGTTGTGATCTGTAACAAAACAATGTCCAAATGGCCACTCGTGAAAATAAAGAATAAAGGTGTAATCTTACTTGCAAATTGAACTTGTAGCATACAACATGTAGTAACTATGAAGATTGTAATAAGTTTGGATTTTGTGTAGTTTTTAAGTCACATACAACCTGTCATATGTCTTCATAGTGGAATTGCTGCAGCCCTGATGTTCACCTGCATTACACAATGTGGAGAACTGTTGAATGACATCCTCCCAACTAGTTCATTTATTGTGTGTATTTTACAAGCACTAAACGTAATCTACACAAACATCTTAACACACCTTACTCCAACACTACAATGCACATCAACAAATTGGAGTCTTTCACGGCCATTTGGAAGCTGGAAGAACCTGAAAACATTAAGCTGTTATAGAAAACAACTTCTTTTATTTCTTGTAACTATTTTCTTGCACTTCCCTTCATCAGGAGACCGGTGGACAAGAATAATATGGAAGATGATGTTACCCAGAAAACATTCATGTCTTCGAAAACAAATTCCTTCCATTACATTTATTCTGATACACCTTCTATTACATTTATTCTGATACAATTGGAGAAATTACATACTTTTTCAAAAACTGTACCTGAGGAAGGATATTAGCAGTGTTTAACTTTAGAGGTAGACTAATGCTTAGTCTCTGAATATGTACAATTTTGATAGAAACAAATACCTCCAATAAACTTGAAAAGGAGCCCCAGCAACATGAGAGATTCAGATGAGAGGAAAATCTAGTCTTACTTCATTTAGGGCTTTTGCATTACAGAAAGATCTTGACAGAAGGGAAAATAATGTGGTTCAGGGATTTGGATATAGACTAGTGTGGAGGCTGAGATTTGTCCATGATTACATGCAGAGATAAGACAGGTCTACCCAGGCCTCCAGAAGGTGATCTTGACTCTCCCAGCACATATCTCCATTAGAGAAATGTATGCTAAGAAAAACTAAAAACTGTGAGAAACACCTATAAGATTACGCCTATAATATTATTCCATTTGCTGCCATTGTGTTGACTTGCAATCTGTACCAACATCCGATCACAAATACATTTGTAGGGCTATAGTTCGTAAACGTAAGTGCAAAATCATATATGCAAAATGACCAAGCTGCTAACCTTATATCCTTATTTGTTGTTAACATTCTGTCACCAGACAATACTGTTCATTTAGTTTTCAGTACCCAGTACCACTGGAGATGTGCCTATTGCATGTGCATTATTATCATTATTGCAATATAAATTGTAACTTGTATACTGGACTCTGGCCTATTCAGAAATAAATTCATATCATCAAAACACAAGTAGGACATCTGGGTAGTTAAATATGTTACAACTGATGCTGCCCCAGAGCCATATTCTTGTTCCATGCCTTGGAGAGCTGTCCATACAGAAAGTTTAGATATATTGGAATACCTGCAAGTTTATGAAACACATCATCACCTAGCTATGACATATGCTATGATAGGGTCAGTACAAATCAGTTTCCTGGCTGTATGCATACACACTTTCGATGGTCTGACTGATACGGAGTGACAGCAGTGAAGACATCCTTGCTCCACACTTGTGATTTTCTCAAGCAGACAATCCAAACATTGAGAATGTGCATTAACCATGGTCACAAGGGGGAAGCTGATAACCTTCACTTAGTAACCTGTCAACCCTGTCTACCACATAATTAGGTATAACTGAGATGTATTTTTATATATGCTATGTCACGATAGCCAAAACTCCTGACAACAAACAAAATGTTCTGAATACAAAGTTTGTGAATAAGTATAATTCATAATATGCTAGATCAGTCCTTCTCCCACAACATGACTTCTTTTTGGTGAAACGATATTACCTCCTGATGCAGAAAACCTGCATATCTGACGCACAAATTATCTCAAATACGCAGTGAATTTAGAAGCTTGCGTCATTGATGACACAATGCTACTGGGTCCTTAGTTCAGATAATCTAAACTTCTAAAACTAAATGTTTGCCAGTTAACTGCTCAGTGCTGATTAAATACCTGACCTGCCTCACCTTGTTTTGTACTTTTTGTCGTTATTAAACAATCCCAGTTGATGTCTTGATGAAAGTTCCAAACTGAAGTTGACTCCCCAAAACATGGCCATGACTCCCTCTCATGACACCAGGGAGTCATGATGACTCAAAGTTTTACAGGTATGCCTAGGGCAAACACTGTGGCTAATTCTATCATGTTATTTAAGCTATGCTTTTACAATATTCATGTACACCTGAAATAGAAGATATGATCATACAGGTAGCACATTGGTAAATATTTTAATTGTCGCTTATGATTTCACTAATGAAACAGATTTAGGTTGTCACTGAGATGAACTTATCTGCAATCACAGCATGAAGGTTCCACACAATTTTATCTACTCTGATTATAAAACTACTAAATTGACATAAAGTATCAATAGATGTTGCTTTTGATGAGTCAAAGTGTGGTATTTATGATGAATGCACTAATTCCTGGCAAGTGAGGATTGGTTCAGTTTGATAGGGCTTGTTGTAAATAAAGGTCAGCTGGTGTGATCTGCAAAATTAAATGTGAAGATTTGTTCAGAATTTGGTTGCCTCTTTGTTACAGAAAGCAGAAAGATCTTTGTCTATCGGATAAGAAATCTAAACTTTTACCTCTTTAATACACACCGTCATCCAAATTGGCGTATTTTCCCACACCCCCCAAAATGTGTTATTATCTCCACAAAACACATATTACTTCTAGTATTTAGAGAATCTCACCCGTGTCTACTGATATCAATAATATCAACACGAGTTGATAAAGTTACAAATATCAAAGGCTTGCCGAGGATATTTTTACCTTTATCAACAAGAGATGATGTAATTGATATCAGTAGACACAAGGGTGAGATTCTATTTATCATCAAACATCATTCTTCATTAGTTTTCAATGACAAATGTACATCTCTCAACACTGTACTACCATAAGACTTGCAGTGGAGCGATGTCATAGCATTGTGACGTCATCAAGTTGATGACAGGGGCTACCTGAGTCAGGGATATGATTATTTGGGAGTCTTGTCCCAACCTCTCCCAGTCCTACACTGCAGCAAGGACATATACACATTTGACCACCTTATAACTGGAATACTACTGAGTGCGGCGTTAAACATCAACCAAAATGTTTGTATATTTTCCAAAATGAGTTTTTATAATCTGTCCGAAACTAGAATGATGTAAATGATTCAATAAAAATATATATACTTAGTATGAAGATGATAAATGTAAGCATGAAAGCGTAACGCCTATTGAGGGGACTTAATAGCTATGCCCGAAACAGGACTATCATAATACTAAGCTCGCTCACTGAACTTTGAAGGTGGAAATTATGGTGTTTCAAATATTGTATGAGCACTTACATAACATAAAAAGAAATGTGACAATATTTAACCAACACAATGACAAACGCCCCGTTCATTCAGCTTACGTGATGTCAGGAGTATAGAATGTGTAAACACTGTAAATCTGTTCTATGTGAAACACGGTGGCGATTCACTCATGTAAACAATCTAACCAAATGAAAACACACACAACTCGATCTTGTAAACAATTTCTTCGTTATAAAGGCGAGAATGATATTCAAATAATTTGTGAAAAATTGAGTCTTTTAAAAATATATACTCAATGATCGTTAACTTAGCATGGTCCAGGTGAATGGGCAGTGTGTCACTTACCGTGACAGGGTTAACACAACCACCCATACACTCATCTAATATTGTCAAGATACCAACTCGGTCTTCTCAGCAGAAAACAGGTAGATTTATCACAGCAATATAGATCTAATACTTACCCAAAACAGGAAATTTGCGAAAAACAAGATGTATTTGACCACTGGGCTCACGAAAGTATCATTTTGTCCACAGCAGCCCATTTTAAACGCTCAAAACATCTATTTATCGCCGACATTCGTCGATGTGTTCGTACTCGATTGAAACCGTACAGGAAACAATGCGCATGTCGGTCGAATGGTGTGACGCACCGTCACGTGATCAAGTGGCAGAGAATGTTTTCCTTGGATAATTTCATTGCCACTATATTTTCCAAACTAAATTCATACTTTTGATGGAATGCTATGGTTGAAAGAGATGTGTACTTTACAATTTAAATCAAATAAAATGTAGTGTTAATATCCAAGAGTGTGTTAGTTTGCGGCTAACGTGTGCCAATGAATTCAATCCTCAATATACAAGCTGTTGAATGATGGACAGCCCAGTGAGCAGCTCGCGTCCCAAAGCTAAAAGAAATGGCCACGCGTTTCTAAAGAGATTATACAAAACTTCTTTGTCTTGTTTTTCTTCAATGAAACTAAATTATTTGATTAACATACGTTAATGCGACCTGCTTGACGTTGATTGCAGTAAGATGAAAGGCTGGAAATGAGCCCTTCCAAATTTTAAGAAGAATATGTGGTGGTGTGTGGTCCTGTGCATAGAGCACAGGTCGCTATAATCAGGTGTTGGGCGCGGACAGTCCTATACGATGGGTGACCGTGCAAGTCAGCTTGTCCTGCCACACAACGAATAGGCAAGAGCGATCAACACCATGAGAAGTATGAAGATATGATAAAGGCATTATATATATCACGACAGCAGATCAACACCTCAGTAGAAGTATGATGATATGATAACGGCTATACCACGCTACCGAGTAGAAGTATGAAGATATGATAAAGGCATTATATATATCACGACAGCAGATCAACACCTCAGTAGAAGTATGATGATATGATAACGGCTATACCACGCTACCGAGTAGAAGTATGAAGATATGATAACGGCTATACCACGCTACAGAGTAGAAGTATATGAAGATATGATAACGGCTATACCACATCACCGAGTAGAAGTATGAAAGTATGATAATGGCTATACCACAGCAGTAGATCAACACCTCAGTAGAAGTATAAGATATGATAACGGCTATACCACGACACCGAGTAGAAGTATGAAGATATGATAACGGCTATACCACGACACCGAGTAAAAGTATGAAAGTATGATAATGGCTATACCACATCAGTAGATCAACACCTCAGTAGAAGTATGATGATATGATAACGGCTATACCACGACACCGAGTAGAAGTACGAAAGTATGATAACGGCTATACCACGCCACCGAGTAGAAGTATGAAAGTATGATAACGGCTATACCACATCAGTAGATCAACACCTCAGTAGAAGTATGAAGATATGATAACGTCTATATCACGACACCGAGTAGAAGTATGAAGATATGATAACGGCTATACCACGACACCGAGTAGAAGTATGAAGATATGATAACGACTATACCACGCCACCGAGTAGAAGTATGAAGATATGATAACGGCTATATCACGACACCGAGTAGAAGTATGAAGATATGATAACGGCTATATCACGACACCGAGTAGAAGTATGAAGATATGATAACGGCTATACCACGACACCGAGTAGAAGTATGAAGATATGATACCGGTTATATCACGCCACCGAGTAGAAGTATGAAGATATGATAACGGCTATACCACGACACCGAGTAGAAGTATGAAGATATGATACCGGTTATATCACGACACCGAGTAGAAGTATGAAGATATGATAGCGGCTATACCACGACACCGAGTAGAAGTGTGAAAGTATGATAATGGCTATACCACATCAGTAGATCAACATCTGAGTAAGCATGAAGGTATGATATGGCTATACCACGACACCTAGTGACGTCAGCAAATAAACATCTGATAGATGCTGCACATCTCCCTATATGTCACGCTACATCTCACTGATCCTGTGCGTCGGATCACCAGAATCTCAGATCACATATCAGTTGTAGTTAGGCGTGGAGAATTTGTGGATGGGTGACCGTGTTTGTCAATTTGACTGAGAATATCAGTCAGTGATACATGTGGTCTCCAAGTGAGTTTGTTCAAAATTGCTTCTGTTCACAATACGCAGAAAATGGGTAACCAGCTTGGTTATCCGGGGTAATAATAATCAGATTGCTCCTGTAAGCAACTAGTCATATAGGTGAAGGTATGATAAAGTATGGCTTTGTAAATGTATATGTGCAAACATGACCCTACATCTAGTCTCTGGGGTTTACAGCATTTCTATCACCTACAACTGTTTCCTGTCAGTTCTGGCTAGATGATACATATCTGTTACCCCACACTGGTGAGATGTGAAAGGGTAAATCTGTAGAATATCTATAGGAAATATGTGAGTCAGACTTGGGTTTTCAGCTGCTTTTAGCAATATATACTGGACAATTCATTGACACACTGATAAAATATCAATCATAAAAATACCAATATCCCTAACTTATTTTGTCCAGTATACTAGCAGACAGCGGAACTGCTCAGTCATCTCAACACCTGACAGCCCGGACACAGATACAATGATCCCCAGAGTGCGGGAACTTTACTCATATACCCATGACTTGAACTGAGATCACCGAGCATATACACACACATCAGATAATGGCGTACCAGGTTTCTCTCGCCCGATATCCATCTCACAAGTCGTTCCGGACATTTAACAACCACACTGTCATTTCCTCTTAAATGTTAACGTGGATAGGCGCATTCCGCTCGGAGAAGTGGCAAGCTAACTATAGCATGGGTCCCGGGGAATGAGGTATACGTGTTACATGTATTGTGTAGCTCCTCGATACCTTTAGTGTGTCTGGTTTTGAACCCGCTTGGGACACTGGCGAGGTGTGTTGACAAATCTAGACACATTTTCAGGAAGAAAACAATATTTGAACCACTTATCATAGGATCACGGCAAGCCTAAGGGACACAACTCAGCTCATCCGTGCTCACTTTATACATTGGATTGTTTCAGGAGCAGTAGTAGGAGCGATATCGTCATGATAATGATCACCATATGATTATAGTGACAGCAGATATTGAGGGGTATACTATTGGCAGTGTAGGAAAGATAGCCCGTCCCAACGTCCAAGACGGGTGAATTTTGTGGAGGACGGGTTAAAAAAGATATCTAGTCCGTCCTCATGTCGGGTCAATTTTAGCAAACCAATGACATAAATATAATGATTATAACCTTTTTAAATATTTACTGCCGAAGGTGTTTTATTTATATTTGGAGGACAGGCTAGATTTTGGCAGGACTGGTAAAAAAATTGACCTGCCAGTCCTGTGGACAGGCTAGATTTTCTACATCTTTCCTACACTGCTATTGGGTGTACTTTTTTGTACGTGGCCTATAGCGGGACACGCATGTTGTGTTACAGGAAGCAGGGGTAAGTGACTGCATCCTCATGGCGTGGGACATTTCGTTCGGTTGGCAGGGATTTGCTGAAGCATCAGGGTGTGTCTGATCAGCCGGCCGCATCAAAATATGGTACTTGTTGGTCCCTGTCTTCCGCTCGACGTTAAACCACAGTTCCACCTCGCCTCACCTGACCAGCTTGAGGTGCAATCTAATAGTATAGTCAGGATTGTGAAACCATTCGGCTCATGCATTCACCACCTTAGACTAACGCTTAGTCCCTGAACACCTCTGTTCTGGGTGGTTAGGTAGCCCAATAGTGGTTAAAGCGTCCGCTCATCAAGCATCGATTCAGCACACGGGTAGAATGCGTGAAACTTATTTCTGGTGTTCCCCGCCGTGATATTACTGGAATATTGCTAAAGGCGGCGTAACTCACGCTTGCGTCCTCATGCTTTAACCATAATAGTTCAGGACGAAAGTGTGCTTTAATACACCATACATGGTGGTATTGCGAACTGTATTTCATAATTTTAAGATGCTAGAGTTAATAAACATCAAGTTTTGTAGCATAGATTGCATCAATGGTTTACAGTTTGCAGGAAAAGAGTTGAAAGGTAAATATTACGCTGATGACTCTGCACCATTATTAAAAGATAAAAAATCAATCCAGAAGACCCTTGATTTTATGCTAATCAAAAGGATTTCAGTGGCCTAGAACTTAATTTAGACAAATCAGTCCTAATGTCTCTGAGAAAAGAGGACTTTTGCTCATCTTATGGAATTCAGAAAGTATCGAGATACAAATACTTAGGCATAATGTTAGACTTAATGACTTTGTTTGTTTTCATGATAATGTTGAAATTTCACTAGAAAATCTAAAGAAGCGATTTGAAATCTGAAAGTCAAGAAATTTGACAATTTTATGGTAGACTCCTATTAAGTAAATCAGAAGGCATTTCAAGGCTTGTTCATCAGGCAAGCTGTATATCATTACCCAAAACAGTTGTCAAGTCTATTAACAGAGAGCTATTTACTTTATTTGGAATAGCAAGTCTAAGAAGGTTTCAAGAAATCGTCTCACACAAGGTTATGAAAATGGGGGCATTAAAGCTTTAGATTTTAATTTATTTAATAAATCACTTAAACTAGTATGGTTTTCTAAATATTTCAAGAATAAGAAATTTTGGAGCTATCAAGTTCAACCAATATTTGAAACTGTAGGATCCCTTGAGTTTTTATTAAACTGCAACTTTGACTTACACAAATTGAATTTAAACATCCCACTATTTTATAAGGATATCTTGAATATCTGGAAATTCCAATTTTACAAAATGTTGACATTTTTAATCAAATTATTTGGAACAATATAAAGATGCTTATAAACAGAAAAACCTTATATGACTCAGATTGGAGAGAAGCAGGTATTATTTATGTTTGTCAATTACTAAGAAAAAATGGAAATTTTATGCAGAGACAAACATTAGTTCAAATGTATGGATTAGAAATTTCCCAAAGAAAATACAGATTGTATACCAATGCCATAAAAAGAGCAATTGGTCAAAATGTGTATTATACATATATGACTTGTTCTTTTCCAAGTGATGTTTGCCCAGATATAAAGGGTGTAAAAGTTGCTGATATTCCTGATAATGCCAAGTCCTGGTGCAGCTTAATGCATAATATTTGTTCTGTGGCAGAAGAGGATACTCATAAATGGAAAATTATACAAGAATC